TATATATATATATATCAGAGTTACAAAAGTAGCGAAGTACAAGAAGACGTCATCACGGCAACAACACCGACATCACGCAACAATGTTTCCTCGCCGCGACTGACACTAATTGCTGATTTTAATAAGTAAAAAAAAGTGCAACAACGAAATGCGAAGATCCGACGACAAGGAATAAAGTCAGACCGGCTGCTATGGAGGAATGTGATATGAGCATTCTCACTGCTCCTCATCAAAGAGCCCCGGTCAGGAAGACACAAAAGAAAAGGCAGCCGATGTATGGATGACCATCCTCAGATCAGCCCTAATGTACGGACTTCAGACCTCAGATCAGCCCCAATGTATGGACTTCAGATCTAAGATCAGCCCTAATGTATGGACTTCCGACCTCATATCAGCCCCAATGTATGGACTCCAGATCTAAGATCAGCCCCAATGTATGGACTCCAGATCTAAGATCAGCCCCAATGTATGGACTCCAGATCTAAGATCAGCCCCAATGTATGGACTCCAGATCTAAGATCAGCCCCAATGTATGGACTCCAGATCTAAGATCAGCCCCAATGTATGGACTCCAGATCTAAGATCAGCCCCAATGTATGGACTTCAGATCTAAGATCAGCCCTAATGTATGGACTTCAGATCTCAGATCAGCCCTAATGTATGGACTTCCGACCTCATATCAGCCCCAATGTATGGACTCCAGACCTAAGAACAGCCCCAATGTATGGACTCCAGATCTAAGATCAGCCCCAATGTATGGACTTCAGACCTAAGATCAGCCCCAATGTATGGACTTCAGACATCAGATCAGCCCCAATGTATGGACTTCAGATCTTAGATCAGCCCCATTGTACGGACTTCAGATCTCAGATCAGCCCTAATGTATGGACTTCAGATCTCAGATCAGCCCTAATGTATGGACTCCAGACCTAAGATCAGCCCCAATGTATGGACTTCAGATCTCAGATCAGCCCCAATGTATGGACATCAGACCTCAGATCAGCCCCAATGTATGGACTCCAGACCAAAGATCAGCCCCAATGTATGGACTTCAGACCTCAGATCAGCCCTATTGTATGGTCTTCAAACCTAAGATCAGCCCCAGTGTATGGACTTCAGACCTCAGATCCGCCCCAGTGTATGATCTTCAGACCTTAGATCAGCCCCAACGTATAGACTTTAGACCTCACATCAGACCCCAATGTATGGACTTCAGACCTCAGATCAGCCCCAATGTATGGACTTCAGACTTAAGATCATGCCCAATGTATGGTCTTCGGACCTTAAATCAGACCCAATGTATGGCCTTCAGACCTTAGATCAGCCCCAATGTATGGACTTCAGACCTCAGATCAGCCCCAATGTATGGAATTTCAGCCCTCAGATCAGCCCCAATGTATGGAATTCAGACTTCAGATGAGCCCCCAAAGTATGGACTTCAGATCTCAGATCATCCCCAATGTTTAGACTTTAGACCTTAGATCAGCCCCCAATGTCAGCCCCCAATGTATGGCCTTCAGACCTCAGGTCAGCCCCAGTGTATGCTCTTCAGACCTCAGATCAGCCCCTGTGTATGGACTTCAGACCTCAGATCAGCCCCAGTGTATGGTCTTCAGACCTTAGATCAGCCCAAACGTATAGACTTTAGACCTCAGATCAGCCCCCAATGTATGGACTTCAGACTTAAGATCAGGCCCAATGTTTGGACTTCAGACCTTAGATCAGCCCCAACGTATAGACTTTAGACCTCAGATCAGCCCCCAATGTATGGACTTCAGACCTCCGATCAGCCCCAATGTATGGACTTTAGACCTCAGGTCAGCCCCAATTTATGGACTTCAGACCTCAGGTCAGCCCTAATTTATGGACTTCAGACCTCAGGTCAGCCCCAATTTATGGACTTCAGACCTCAGATCAGCCCCCAATGTATGGACTTCAGACGTCAGATCAGCCCCAATGAATAAACTTCAGCCAGCACGCCTGTATTGGGCACGTCCAGGTGTGTCAAATACCCGCCTCCCCTTCTGCATGCTGTGATTCCTCCAGCCAGTTTGTACGTCCTGTAGTGACTTAGGATCCACAAAGAGGAAGAGGATCGATCCAGCTATTTGAAGTAAAGAGCGATTTTTGTTGAACTCTTCGACACGTTTTTGTGCGCACGCTTCCCATCTACTTTTCTTTCGCATTTAAAGGTATTCAAGGCAGTAAATTGGATATTTGGATGTACATTGGATTCAGGTGATCCGTGACATTTCCTGGCTGCTAAATAGTCCGCGGTCACCTGCTAGTGGTATTATAACAAAGTGGAAGCAACTGGGAACAACAGCAACTCAGCCAGGAAGAGGTAGGCCACGTCACATGACAGAGCGGGGTCAGCGCATGCTGAAGCGCACAGTGCGCAGAAGTCGCCAACTGTCTGCAGAGCCAATAGCTACAGACCTCCAAACTCCATGCGGCCTTCAGATCGGCACAACAACAGTGCGTAGAGAGCTTCATGGAATGGGTTTCCATGGCCGAGCAGCTGCATCCAAGCCTTACATCACCAAGTGCAATGCAAAGCGTGGGATGCCGTGGTGTAAAGCGCGCCGCCACTGGACTCTAGAGAAGTGGAGACGTGGTCTCTGGAGTGACCAATCACGCTTCTCTGTCTGGCAATCCGATGGGCGTGTCTGGGTTTGGCGGTTGCCAGGAGAACGGTACTTGCCTGACTGCATTGTGCCAAGTGTAAAGTTTGGTGGAGGGGGATTTGGGATGAATTAGAGCGGAGACTGCAAGCCTGGCCTTCTCCCCCAACATCAGTACCTGACCTCACAAATGGTCCAACATTCCCATAGACACACTCCTAATCCATGTGGATGCCTTCCCAGAAGAGTTAAAGCTGTTATAGCGGCAAAGGGCGGAGCCAACCCAATACTGAACCCTACGCACTAAGACTGGGATGCCATTAAAGTTCATGTGCGTGGAAAGGCGTCCCAATACTTTTGGCAATATAGTGTATATCTTATACGCAGTTTCGGGTCCCAATGATTTGCATCGGGAACAGACAAAAATTCCCATTTCTTACAATGTGACAAAATGTTGGCAGACGGAGGCCGCAGCACTGCCAGCGGAAAATGCCGAAAACATGACAAAGTGGTATTTTTGGACCGGCCAAAAATAGTTGGCGGCAGATTGCTGGTCTCTTGGCTCCGGGCCTCGCTGCGGGTGACAAGTGATTGGCGGCAGGTGGCAGCGCAGGGTGACGGGAACTTCTGTCTTGCAGATGCTCTGAGTGAAACGTTGCGCTTGTTTGTGGAGAGTGATTGTCCTGGTTCTTGAACAACATTTTTAAGTGGCGTACGGTTTGATGTCCCCGAAAGCAGCTATCAGAGCCGTCCAAGATTTCACTTATCTCCAATGATTCAAACGAGGGCGACGAAAGGTGAAAGTTTCTCATGTTTATTTTTAAATGCCGCATTGACCCCCTTTACTGTCTGCTCCCGCCGGCCCTTTGAGGGGTTCTTAAAGTGGAACTACAGCCTCTTATCTTTTACAGCCAAGGGAGGCGCCATGTTGACCGCTATTTGGATGGCAGTTGACATGGTGCTGCACATGTGATCAGCTATGACACACATTACCGTGTATTGCATTAGGGCAAGTGGGCTCTGCAGGGTGTCAGGCGGGCTGTGCGGGGTCTCAGGTGGCCTCTGCGGGGTCTATGGTATGTGTGGGGTCTCAGGTGGGCTCAGCAGAGTCTATGGTATGTGCAGAGTGTCAGGTGGCCTCTGCAGGGTCTTTGCTATGTGCGTGGTCACAGGTGGGCTCTGCAGGGTGTCAGGTGGGCTGTGCAGGGTCTATGGTATGTGTGCAGTTTCAGGTGGGCTCAGCAGAGTCTATGGTATGTGCAGAGTGTCAGGTGGCCTCTGCAGGGTCTTTGCTATGTGCGTGGTCACAGGTGGACTCAGCAGGGTGTCAGGCGGGCTGTGCAGCGTCTCAGGTTGCCTCAGCAGGGTGTCAGGTGGGCTCAGCAGGGTGTCAGGTGGGCTGTGCAGGGTCTATGGTATGTGTGGGGTCTCAGGTGGGCTTTGTAGGGTGTCAGGTGGACTGTGCAGGGTCTATGGTATATGTGGGGTCTCAGGTGGGCTTTGCAGAGTGTCAGGTGGGCTGTGCAGGGTCTATGGTATATGTGGGGTCTCAAGTGGGCTCTGCAGGGGGTCAGGTGGGCTGTGCAGGGTCTATGGTATGTGCAGGGTCTCAAGTGGGCTTTGCAGGGTGTCAGGTGGGCTGTGCAGGGTCTATGGTATGTGTGGGGTCTCAGGTGGGCTCAGCAGGGTGCCAGGTGGGCTGTGTGGGGTCTATGGTATGTGTGGGGTCTCAGCAGGGTGTCAGATGGGCTCTGCAAAGTGTCAGGTGGGCTGTGCTGGGTCTATGGTATGGGT